CAATCCAATCATCATGATAATATGATCTTGAGTAAGCTCTTAAATATTGTTCAATAAAAGAATTACACCTTTCAACTTGACCAACTGTTTCATGATGGTCAGTTGTAGCGATTTTTGATTTAATGTTTAAATATTCCATTACTTCTTTCCAAAGAGCACTTGTAAATTGAGATCCTCTATCTGTATACATATCACAAGGCAATCCGTGTAGTTTAAATATATTTGTAATGAAAGCTTTGGCAGTTTGTTTGGCATCAGGTATTTGTTTAAACGGAATTAAATGAATCATCTTAGAGAAACGATCAACAACTACCATAATAACGGTGTATCCTTTAGAATAAGGAAGACCACATAGAAAATCAATTTCGATAGACTTCCAAGGTCTATCAGGAGTATCTAAAGGTTGTAAAAGACCATATTTTCTATGTCTATTAACCTTGTTTCTTGCACAACATTCACAAGAATTAACATAACTTGTAACATCTTCATGTATTTTTGGCCACCAAAAGTTTCTTGTAATTAGTTCTAGAGTTCTTCTTATACCAAGATGTCCAGAAGTGGGTTTTTCATGATATTTTTCTAAAATTTCTAATCTAAGTGATTCAGGAATATAAATTAAATTGTTATATAATATAATATTATCTTTTATTTTAAATCTTTCCATTTTCCTAAATGGTTTATAAGCATAATTATTTTTAATATTGTTTTCACTAAAGTATAATTTAATATCTTCAGCAGTAGCATCTTCTTTAATAGCATCAATAATTTTTTCTAGTAAATTACTCATAATTCCTACTAAACAGGGAACTTCTTTTACATTTTTAATATCTAATATATTTTCTGGTTTAATATCTTCGTTATTCTTCATATAGTCAGGTCTTCTTGAAAGACTATCTGGTTTCCCATTTTTAGTTCCTTGTCTATATATAAGTTGGAAATCATATTCCTGAAAGAATAAGTGCCATCTATGCTGTCTTTGATTACCAACTTTTCCTCCTAAAGTATAGATTAAATTTCTATGGTCAGTATAGACAGTAATTTTATGTTTTGCACCAAGTAAAAGATGTCGCCAAGTTAAGAAAGAATCTCTAATAGCTAATAACTCTTTTTCTGTAATGGTATAATTTATTTCGGAGCCTTGTAAACTTCTTGAAAAGTAAGCAACAGGATGTAATTTATTATTTTCATCTTTCTGAGATAAAACAGCACCTATAGCATAGTTACTTGCATCACATTCTACTATGAATGGTTTAGTTACATCTGGGTGATGCAGTACTGGAGAAGTAGTTAATTTACTTTTTAATAATTTAAATGAATTTTCACAATTTGTATCCCAAATAAATTTTGTATTTTTTCTTGTTAAATTATGGAGAGGCTTAGCTATTTTTGCAAAATTTTTTACAAATCTCCTATAGTAATTACATAAGCCTAAAAATCGTTGTACTTCTTTAATATTTTTCGGAGTTGGCCACTCTTCTATAGATTTAATTTTCTTTGGGTCAGTAGATACACCATCACCAGATAAAATGTAACCTAGGAATTCAACTTTTTCTTTATCGAATTCACATTTTTCTAATTTTGCGTATAAATTATTATTAATTAAAGTTTGTAATACACTTCTTACTTGTTTGTGATGTTCTTCCAAATCCTCAGAATAAATTAAAATATCATCCAAATATAAAATAACACTCTTTTCCAAATAAGGTCTGAGTACAGAATTAATAAATGATTGGAAAGTGGCTGGGGCATTTTTCAACCCAAAAGGCATTACGAGATATTCGTAATGACCATATTTAGTTCGAAAAGCTGTTTTATATTCATCCCCCTCTTTTATACGAATTAGGTTATAGGCAGATCTTAGATCTAATTTTGTGAAATATTTTGCACTTTTAACCTTTTCAATGATATCATTAATAAGTGGAAGAGGATATGAATTTCTAATGGTAACAGCGTTTAACTTTTTGTAATCCACACACAATCTTAAAGAACCATCTTTCTTTTTTTGAAATAAGACAGGATAACCAGCTGGAGATTCAGAAGGTCTAATAAATCCCTTCTTTAAATTTTCTTCTATATATTCTTTTAAAACTTTATTTTCTTCTTCAGATAATGGGTAGATAGGTCCATAATGAAGAGAAGCATCCTTTTCTAAAACTATTTTACAGTCAGTTAAACGATGTGGTGGTAGTTTATCTGCTTCTTTCTTACTAAATACAACAGCCAAATCTCGATATTGAAGCGGAATATTTTCGATTTTTATATCTTCAATATCTTCTTCATAATTTTCTTTATTTGTTAAAAATGAATAAATTAAATAATTATAGTTAAATTTATTATTAATTTTATATTTTTTATTTTGGTGATTGTTTTTTAATTTAAAAAATGTTTTATTGGTTAAAAAATTAAATTTTTTATGAAGAAATTTTTTATATTTATTAAGTTTAAAATTTAATTTATTTTGATTAAAATTTTTGAAATTTTTTGAATTTTTTGTATAATTAAATTTTTTTATGAATTTATGTTTTAAAAAATAATTTTTTAAAAATCTTTTTATCACTGAATTAAACCAAGAATAATATTGTGGATTTTTATTAGCATTTTTATTAATTTTGTTATAAAAGTGAGAATCTAAATAAGAATATAGGAAGTTTTTATTATAATCGTAATGAATATGAAACTTCCTCATAAATTGATTTCCAAAAAGTAATTTTGTTGGAATACAATTCGAAATTAAAAATTTTTCTTTAAAATTTTTAAAATAAACTTTTTTATTTCCATTAATTTTAATTTGAAATTTTAGCCAAACATAATTCTTTATCTGGGTTGTATCACCAGAAATTCCTTTGACTAAAATTTTTGATTTTAAATTATATTTTTTCAAGTTTAAAGTTTTTACTAAATCTTCTGTAATAAAATTACAGAAGGAGCCTGAATCTAACATAGATTCAGTTTTTAATTTATTATTATCATTTTTAATATTTTTTATATTATTTGAAAATGATGTTGGAATATATGTATCAAATAAAAGGAAAGTTGAAGGTAATTTTTTATTTACTACATTATTAAATGTAGGAAAATTATAATGAAGAATTCTTGTGTTTTTTATTATATTGGACTTCTGTTGAAGTCCATTGTTTAGTTTTTTGTTTTATTATTATTGCTACTGGTTTTATTACTATTATAATTGTTATTATTGTAATTATTATTATAATTACTTTTGTTATTATAATTGTTATTAGAATTATAATTTTTATCATGATTAATATGGGTACTAAAGTGTTTTGAATGTTTATTATTACTGCTTCTAGAAAGTTTTGAATTACCATTATTTGATTTTATTTGATTTTTTGTTTTTAATGTATTTTCAAGTAAAATACATTTAGTATAAATAGTACCAAGATCAACAGGGAATTCTTCCATTTCTTCAATTACTTCTTGGAATTTTGAATGTAACCCATTATAGAAAATTAAAACTAAGGCTTCTTCACTGAATCCAAGACCATTCGAAAGAGTTCTAAATTGTTCAATATAATCATTTATTTTCCCATAGTTATGTTTCAATTTTATTAATTGAATCTTAGCTAATTTTTTGCTTGCAACGTTGGAAAATGCTTTTCTTAATTCAGTAGTCAATTCAGAAAGAGTTTTTGGGTTAGTATCCTTGTACGTAGCTAGATACCAATTACGAGCGCCATCTCTTAAACGGGATTTAATAAAGTTAATTTTGATATCTTCTGTAGCTTCTGAATTTGGATATGTTTTAAAGGTATCTTCACAAAGTTGACAGAATAGATCAGTTTCTTTAGTATCTCCAGAGAAAAATCCAGGTTCAGGAACTTGTTGTAAACGGTTTGAAAAAGCATTCCTCATAATAACATCATTGTCATCATCACGTCTAGTAATGGTAGATACATTATCCTCTTGTGTTCGACTAGTAGAAGGAATATCATTTGTAGCAATATTTATATTTAACTTTTCATCTAAAATTTTCGTTAAATTAGATAATTGATTAATAATATTTTTATTATCTTTGTAAAGTGTATAAAGTTTTTTTTGTAAGTCCTTGTTATATTCATTAAAATCTTCTTTTAATAAAAAACTATCATTAACAGAAGAAGCCAATTCGGATACAGTAACTTGGGCGTCAGACCTTAATTTATTAACTTCTGACATTGGAGCAATGTCAGCCCATACATTATTGTAAAAAGACATATTAAAGTAGTAACCAAAACTAGGGTAAGGTTATTGTTAAAATTAAGATATAAAATAGTTTTATGATTAATAACGTTACTAGGTTAATATGTTGAATTATATATCAATAATCCAACAATAATTAATTAATAATAATATAAAAATAATATAAGATAAATAGTTAAGTTATTTAAACACTTAATATCTAAGAATATTTTAAATAATAATTTCTTTGAAGGATTTATGAAAATATTTATTTATTGAATTATTAGTATATAATTATTGTAAATACAATAACCTTACAAAGAACATAAAAGATAGATTTTTACATCTTTCTTTTATACTTTGTAAGTTACATAATAATAGTATTTAATTATAAGATAATAATAATATAGTAAAATGAATATTAATAAAATATTAAAATAATAACAATATCGATATGTTTAAAATATTTAATATAATTAAATAAATTTAATTTGTATAATTAATTTGAATAATTAAAAATAGTAATTAATATATATGATATAAACATATATATAAACATAATATAAATAAATACATGTGACGTCATATGTAAATAATTGAAATTATTAATATAAATCTTATTTATTAATATTTTCAGAATTATTAGGCCTAAGATAATTCTTTAAATACTAAATAAGAGTTTATATTAATTATTAATTAAATGTATATTGAAATGTGAATAACTGAAATTGAGATTTCAATTCAGTTATAATTTCAACAAGTAAAGAATTATTAATAATAAAATAAAGGTTATTAATTCATTCTTTACCATGAAAATCAATTAAGCGAAGTTGGCGCAGTCGGCAGCGCGTAAGTCTCATAATCTTAAGGTCGTGAGTTCGAACCTCACACTTCGCATTTTTATAATATATTTTCATATTTTTATTTTATAAACTTAAATTACAAATTATCATATATATTATAAATTTTATCTTTATTTTTATGGTAATTTTTAAATATTTTAATTATTGAGATTGTAATAGAATTGGTGAAGATAATATAAAAACATGAAAACTAAAAAAAAAAAAAAAAGGGCAACAAATTACTTTAATAAACTAGCTTTATATATTTTTACTTTAATATTAAGTTTCTCGTTAATTTTTTTAATTTTTTTTTTTCTTTTAAATTTTTTTTTCTTAAAGATAGATTTAATTTCATTTCTTTGAAGAAAAGGAATTTAATAATATAAATTTATTATATAAATTAAAAAAAAAAAAAAAAAAAAAAAAAAAAAAAAAAAAAAAAAAAAAAAAAAAAATTAAAATAAAATATATAATTTATATTATGTATGTATTATTTAATAATATATCATATTGTGAAAAAAGAAATAAATTTTTTTTTTTTTTTATTTAAGATAGTATAATAATCAAATTATAAATTAAATAATTTTTTTTTTTTTTTTTTTTCAACTTTTAATCTTTTTTTTTTTTTTTTTTTTTTTTTTTTTTATTTATTTATTTCTTCATTTTATTTAAGTTAATGCTTATGATTATTATATATATATATTTTATTGTTTTTTTTTTATTCATTTATTAATTTATTATTTATACCTTATTATATTTTTATTATTATTATTATTAATTATTTTTAATATTCTTTTATTTTACATCATTAAAATCTTGAAGTATTACTTTATTATAAATTACCATAAATATTTTTATTATCGTTTATTAATCTTATTTATTATTTCTTAATTAATGGGATTATATTATATAATTAATTATTTATTATTTATTATTCAATTAATTATTTTTCAATTATATATGATTAATGAGATGTATTATTCAATTATTCAATTATTCAATTATTATTTTTTAATTCCAAATATAATTATTTTTATTTGATTACTTTTAAAAAAATTTTTATTAATTCCTTATTTGAGTTGTTTAAGCTAAGTTTAATAAAATTTATTTGAATAAAGTGATAAAGAATAGAAATTTATTATGTTTCCCATCTTTATTAATTTTACTAAATAAAATTAAATAAAAGAAAATAACTAAATTTATTAAAGAATATTATATATATTTATTATATAATATAAGGCTTTATTAAATATTTCGATTAATACTAATCCTTAAAGGTTAATTAGTCCATCTATACTAAAATTCTAATAAATCATATAAAATTATATTTCTAATATTACAGGCCAATTAGTAACCTTTAATAATAATTATTATTATGTAATTTGAATAGCTGATTATAGTAACATTTTTTTAAAAGAACTAATTTCATATCATTTAAATATTTAATAGTTTTATAATTTATATATCTTTACAAATAATCATCCTAATTCATTATTATTTTAGGTTTCATTCCATATTTTAAGTTTGTTATATTCTGTTTAAAATATAAAATAAATTGACATTGACCTTATATAGTTAACAAATTCTTTAATTAATATTAAAAGGTATTTATTGTACAAAATTGTCGATTCATTTTATTTATTTGATATCTTTTTTTACTAAATTTATATTTATTAAAAAAAAAGAAAAAATTTTATTTTTTATTTTATTTTATTTTATTTTTTTTGGAAAATATTAATAAATTATTACAGTTTAAATTTTAAATTTAATTTTTTTTTTAATTTTTTTTGTTTTTTTTTTTCTGTTTTTTAATTTTTATAGAATTAGAATTAATTTATTATTAAATTAACTATTTGTAATTGGAAATTAAAATAATAATATTTATAGTTTAAAAAAAAATTTAAATATATTTAAAAATTAATATTTGAAACAAAACATCTTGACAAATTATTATTACCACTACTATAAACATTTTTTTTATTAAATTATTATAATCTATATTTCCATATAAAGTATAAAGATGTACTTTATTTTTTTTAATTAGTTGTTAACTTCAAATTTATTATTAAATAAAGTTAGATTACTCGATATTATTATATATTTAGATTTAATGCTGTTACACATTAATTATTGGCATAATTTTAAATAAAATTTTAATTATTAATATTATTTTGCAAAAAGGAATAAATATAAGTTATGAGTAGAAAAATAAAAGGATAATTAAAAGTAGTATAATAATAAAATGAAAAACATTTAATTATCTAGAAAATATATATTAATAGTATAAAATGATTAACCACTGATTAAAAAGCAACTAAATAAAAAATGAAATAATATAATATTGTTTATATATAAACATACAAATAAACAAAGAAATAAATAAATAAATCAAGTAAATAAATAAATAAATAAAAATATATATTATTTTAAAAGATTTTACATAAATGAATGAAATTTTAATCATTAGTAATATTCATTTGTAAAATTAAATAATAAATAAGTAATATTAAAAAAAAAAAAATAATCAAAGTTTAAAGTAAATTGATTTATTTAGGCTTAAACTCATGATTGTATATATTGGGATACAAGATTATTATCTTTTTACATATTATAATAGAGAATATAATGTTTTTTTCTTATAGTATTCTTTTCCTACCAAAAAATTATACTTGAATTATAAATAAGGAGATATTTTCATAACGAGTAATTTGATTTATTCAGATTGCATTTAACTTAAATTCCTGTTTGTATATAATAGGATGCTAGATTATTATCTTAATACATATTATAATAAAGAATAGTATTATTTTTTTTATAGTGTTCTTTTCCTACCAAAAATTAATATTTTGAATTATAAATAATTTTTCATGGGAGTATAGATTTCTACCGTTCATAGAATTGTGCTCTGCTTTGTTGTTGTAAGAGAAGAATAGCTAGGAAGTCAATTCTGAGAGTGAATATTTGACCAAAAGATTCTAGATTTTATGGTCACAAGGTTGATTGAGGATAGATTATTCAAGTTTTATCTATTTATTTATTTATTTATTTATTTATTTATTTATTTATTTATTTATTTATTTATGTCATTTTCAAAAAAAAAATTTTTTTTCTAATAATATTAATTAAAATTTAATTTGCTATAATTAATAAAATATTAATATTATTGTTAAATTATTGTCATCATATTATTATACTTTTATATTAATATATATTTGGAATTGTATAATATATAATATACTTAATATAAAATTATATAAAAATTACAATATTAAAAAAATATAGATAATATATATATATAACAGTTGAAGGCTTTGAAGTAAAAATTATTATTATTTTTTAAATACTATTAATAAAAATAATATATAATAATAAGATAAAATAAAATCAATAGTAAAAATACAATGTATTAATAAATAAATAAATAAATAAATAAATAAATAAATAAATAAATAAATAAATAAATAAATAAATAAATAAATAAATAAATAAATAAATAAATAAATAAATAAATAAATAAATAAATAAATAAATAAATAAATAAATAAATAAATAAATAAATAAATAAATAAATAAATAAATAAATAAATAACTTAATAAATCAGTAAGTAAATAAATAAATAAGTAAATAAATAAATAAGTTAATAAATAGATATGTTAATAAATAAATAAAAAAAATAAATAAAGAAGTAAATTAATATAAATAAATATAAAAATAAATAAAAAATATATTTTGATAATTGTATTTTCTTTATAAAGGAAAAAAAAATTAAGGCGTAAATATAAAATTATTTTTTTTAGCTTGAATAGTGATAATTTTTCTTTTATTAAGATACAGTTATTAATCAAAATAAAAAAAAGATTTAAAAATTAAATAATCGGTGGATTTAATATGATAGAATTTATCTTTAGAATAGTGTTAAAAGGCTAATTATTAATGTATAATATATAAAATATATATTGATTATGCTTTTTATATTCTTTATAATAATCAATAATTATAAATATAATAAAATTATTTGTTCTTATTTATAAGAATTTATTTAATTATTTATCTTTATTTTTTTATTCTTTTTAATTTATACAATTTAGTTAATTTTTTTTTTTTTAATCTATATTCTCCTAATTGCATATGCAATAATAAATATATATAATAGGTATATTTTATATAAAATAATTTATAGAAATACATATATTAATTTTTAATTGATTCATCAAACTTTATTTATTATAAAACTTAAGCTTCTAATATTAAAAATTATTAAGAATTAATATAATCATTTTTTAATTAATTATTATAACAAAAATTTCATTTTTACTTTTTGTATCATAATAATTTGAGATAAATAAATAAATAAATAAATAAATAAATAAATAAATAAATAAATAAATAAATAAATAAATAAATAAATAAATAAATAAATAAATAAATAAATAAATAAATAAATAAATAAATAAATAAATAAATAAATAAATAACTATATATATAAATAATAATTATTTTTATATTTTTATTATATAAAATTTTTATTGAAAATAAAAGAGAATCTTTGTTTTTTATTTTAAATTTATTCTTTTCTTTTTATTATTATTTTAATCTGTAAAAATCATTTTTAATGGTGTTAATAAAGAAAAGATTTCAAAAATAAAATATTATAAGTTAAAATAAAATATAAAAAGAAAGAAATAATAAATAAATATTTGAATAATCCATTTATATTTAAAATATAGGTATGTACTATAAATATATTTATAAAAAAAAACTCGAAAAGTTTAATTATAAAAATTATTGTTTTAATAATTATTTTTATGTTCTTTTATATATATATATATATATATTAATTTAAAATCTGTTTTATATTATATCCTATTATTAAAAAATTAATTACAGAAATTAAGAATTATTTAATGTGATTTATTCATAATTAATTCAAAAATATATATATATTTTAAATTAATAATATATAGTTGATATAATTCAGTTATTATTATTATTTTTTTTAAAAGAAATGATAGGAAATAAAAATTTAAAATTTAAGGAAGTTCCTGAATACTATC